AGATAACTTTGCAGATGGCCCTCACAAATAGATAGATAGATAGATAGATAGATAGAATTGGATCGTGCAGATAGCTTTGCAGTTTCCCTCACAAAGAGATAGATAGATAGATAGATAGATAGATAGATAGATAGATAGATAGATAGATAGAATTGGATCGTGCAGATAACTTTGCAGCCGTCCCTCACAGATAGATAGATAGATAGATAGATAGATAGATAGATAGATAGATAGATAGATAGATAGATAGAATTGGATCGTGCAGATAACTTTGCAGCCGGCCCTCACAAATAGATAGATAGATAGATAGATAGATAGATGGATAGATATAGATATAAATTGGATCCTGCAGATAACTTTTGCATGGATGCCCTCCCTCACAAATAGATAATAGATAGATAGATAGATAGATAGATAGATAGATAGATAGATAGATAGATAGATAGAATAGATCGATGATAGATAACTTTGATAGATGATAGCCCTCATAAATAGATAGATAGATAGATAGATAGATAGATAGATAGATAGATTGGATAGATAAATAGATGCAGATAACTTCGTCACAAATAGATAGATAGATAGATAGATAGATAGATAGATAGATAGATAGATAGATAGATAAATTGGATCGTGCAGATAACTTTGCAGCCGGCCCTCACAAATATATATAGATAGATAGATAGATAGATAGATAGATAGATAGATAGATAGATAGATAGAAGAATGGATCGTGCAGATAACTTTGAAGCCGGCCCTCACAAATAGATAGATAGATAGATAGATAGATAGATAGATAGATAGATAGATAGAATTGGATCGTGCAGATAACTTTGCAGCCGGCCCTCACAAATAGATAGATAGATAGATAGATAGATAGATAGATAGATAGATAGATAGATATAATTGGATCGTGCAGATAACTTTGCAGCCGGCCCTCACAAATAGATAGATAGATAGATAGATAGATAGAATTGGATCGTGCAGATAACTTTGCAGCCGGCCCTCAAAAATAGATAGATAGATAGATAGATAGATAGATAGATATAATTGGATCGTGCAGATAACTTTGCAGCCGGCCCTCACAAATAGATAGATAGATAGATAGATAGATAGATAGATAGATAGATAGATAGATAGATAGAATTGGATCGTGCAGATAACTTTGCAGCCGGCCCTCACAAATAGATAGATAGATAGATAGATAGAATTGGATCGTGCAGATAACTTTGCAGCCGGCCCTCACAAATTGATAGATAGATAGATTGATAGAATTGGATCGTGCAGATAACTTTGCAGCCGGCCTCACAAATAGATAGATAGATAGATAGATAGAATTGGATCGTGCAGATAACTTTGCAGCCGGCCTCACAAATAGATAGATAGATAGATAGATAGAATTGGATCGTGCAGATAACTTTGATAGATAGAAAGATAGAGATAGATAGATAGATATAATTGGATCGTGCAGATAACTTTTCAGCCCCTCCCAAATAGATAGATAGATAGATAGATAGAAGAATTGGATCGTGCAGATAACTTTGCAGCCGGCCTCACAAATAGATAGATAGATAGATAGATAAATAGATAGATAGATAGATAGATAGATGATTGATCGTGCAGATAACTTTGCAGCCGGCCCTCAAATAGATAGATAGATAGATAGATAGATAGATAGATAGATAGATAGATAGATATTTGGATCGTGCAGATAACTTTGATAGATAGATAGACAAATAGATAGATAGATAGATAGAAAGAATTGGATCGTGCAGATAACTTTGCAGCCCCCTAGATAGATAGATAGATAGATAGATAGATAGATAGATAGATAGATAGATAGATAGAATTGGATCGTGCAGATAACTTTGCAGCCTGCCCTCACAAATAGATAGATAGATAGATAGATAGATAGATAGATAGAATTGGATCGTGCAGATAACTTTGCAGCCGGCCCTCAGATAATAGATAGATAGATAGATAGATAGATAGATAGATAGATAGATAAATGGATCGTGCAGAACTTTGCAGGCCTCAAAATAGATAGATAGATAGATAGATAGATAGATAGATAGATAGATAGATAGATAGATAGATATAATTGGATCGTGCAGATAACTTTGCAGCCGGCCCTCACAAATAGATAGATAGATAGATAGATAGATAGATGATATCGAATGCAGATAACTTTGCAGCCGGCCCTCACAAATAGATAGATAGATAGATAGATAGATAGATAGATAGATAGATAGATAGATAGATAGATAGAATTGGATCGTGCAGATAACTTTGCAGCCGGCCCTCACAAATAGATAGATAGATAGATAGATAGATAGATAGATAGATAGATAGATAGATAGATAGATAGATAGATAGATAGATAGATAGATAGATTTCGAGATAACTTTGCAGCCCTCACAAATAGATAGATAGATAGATAGATAGAATTGGATCGTGCAGATAACTTTGCAGATAACCCTCACAAATAGATAGATAGATAGATAGATAGATAGATAGATAGATAGATAGATAGATAGATAGATAGATAGATAGATAGATAGATAGAATTGGATCGTGCAGATAACTTTGCAGCCGGCCCTCACAAATAGATAGATAGATAGATAGATAGATAGATAGAATTGGATCGTGCAGATAACTTTGCAGCCGGCCCTCACAAATAGATAGATAGATAGATAGATAGATAGATAGATAGATAGATAGAATTGGATAGATAGATAACTTTAGATAGATAGATAGATAGATAGATAGATAGATAGATAGATAGAAATGGATAGATAGATAATAGATAGATTGATCACAAATAGATAGATAGATAGATAGATAGATAGATAGATAGATAGATAGATAGATAGATGATAGAATTGGATCGTGCAGATAACTTTGCAGCCTGCCCTCAAAAATAGATAGATAGATAGATAGATAGATAGATGATCGTGCAGATAACTTTGCAGCCGGCCCTCACAAATAGATAGATAGATAGATAGATAGATAGATAGATAGATAGATAGATAGATAGATAGATAGATAGAATTGGATCGTGCAGATAACTTTGCAGCCGGCCCTCACAAATAGATAGATAGATAGATAGATAGATAGATAGAATTGGATCGTGCAGATAACTTTGCAGCCCTCAAAAGATCATAGAAGATAGATAGATAGATAGATAGATAGATAGATAGATAGATAGATAGATAGAATTGGATCGTGCAGATAACTTTGCAGCCGGCCCTCAAAAATAGATAGATAGATAGATAGATAGATAGATAGATAGATAGATAGATAGATAGATAGATAGATAGATAGATAGATATCGGATCAGAGATAACTTTGCAGCCGGCCCTCACAAATAGATAGATAGATAGATAGATAGATAGATAGATAGATAGATAGATCGATGATAGATAACTTTGATCGTGCAGATAGCCCTCAAAAATAGATAGATAGATAGATAGATAGATAGATAGATAGATAGATAGATAGATAGATAGATAACTTTGATGCCTCAGATATAGATTAGATAGATAGATAGATAGATAGATAGATAGATAGATAGATAGATTGGATCGTGCAGATAACTTTGCAGCCCTCACAAATAGATAGATAGATAGATAGATAGATAGATAGATAGATATACATAGATGGATAGATAGATAGATAGAAGATAGATAGATCGTGCAGATAACTAGATAGATAGATAAATAGACAGATTGGATAGATTGATAAATTTGATAGATAGATAGATAGATAGATAGATAGATAGATAGATAGATAGATAGATAGATAGATAGAATTGGATCGTGCAGATAACTTTGCAGCCGTCCCTCACAAATAGATAGATAGATAGATAGATAGATAGATAGATAGATAGATAGATAGATAGATTGGATTGGATCGCAGATAACTTTGCAGCCGTCCCTCACAAATAGATAGATAGATAGATAGATAGATAGATAGATAGATAGATAGATAGATAGATAGATAGAAATGGATCGTGCAGATAATTTGCAGCTGCCCTCACAAATACATAGATAGATAGATAGATAGATAGATAGATAGATAGATAGATAGATAGATAGATAGATAGATAGATAGATAGATAGATAGATAGAATTGGATCGTGCAGATAACTTTGCAGCCGGCCCTCACAAATAGATAGATAGATAGAGATAGATAGATAGATAGATAGATAGATAGATAGATAGATGCAAACAAACTTTCAGATAGATAGATAGATAGATAGATAGATAGATAGATAGATGATAGATAGATAGATAGATAGAAGATTGGATCGTGCAGATAACTTTTGCAGCCGGCCCTCACAAATAGATAGATAGATAGATAGATAGATAGATAGATAGATAGATAGATAGATAGATAGATAGATAGATAGAATTGGATCGTGCAGATAACTTTGCAGCCGGCCCTCACAAATAGATAGATAGATAGATAGATAGATAGATAGATAGATAGATAGATAGATAGATAGAATTGGATCGTGCAGATAACTTTGAAGCCAGCCCTCATAGAAATAGATAGATAGATAGATAGATAGATAGATAGATAGATGGATAGATAGATAGAATAAATTTGTGCAGATAACTTTGCCTCCCTCAAAATAGATAGATAGATAGATAGATAGATAGATAGATAGATAGATAGATAGATAGATTGATAGAATTGGATCGTGCAGATAACTTTGCAGCCGGCCTCACAAATAGATAGATAGATAGATTGATAGATAGATAGATAGATGAATATATAGATAGCAGATAACTTTGCAGCCGGCCCTCAAAAATAGATAGATAGATAGATAGATAGAATTGATAGATGCAGATAACTTTGATAGATAGATAGATAGATAGATAGATAGATAGATAGATAGATAGATAGAATTGGATCGTGCAGATAACTTAGCAGATAGCCCTCACAAATAGATAGATAGATATAGATAGATAGATAGAAGATAGATAGATAGATAG